TGTCTTTAGTAGCATTCAACTTTGGTAGCTACTGCCATGTGTTTCCCCAAAAGTAGTACCTCTGTACATTTTAAAATTTAATAAAGCTAAAAGCTACCCTATGAGGTAAGTATTATCATTCCCATGTTTTTGGAAAATAAACAAAGGCTCAGAGAGCTGCCCAAGGCTGTTGCTGTAGGAAAGAGTCTGGATTTAAATCCAGCTCCACCTGATGTCAAAGTCCATGCTCTTCACCATTACTCTAAGCTGCTTTCATCCTTGGAAAGAATTCATGCCTTCACTTCCCTCATTACCTGCAGTAGAACCTCTGCTATTGCGTTAAGGTAGAGAAGACTGAATATGTGAGGCTGTGCTATTGAGTAGTATCAGAAGAACTATAGTTTAGTTGATGGAATACATCTTTGAGGCTGCTATGCAAGAGCAAACCTTCATCTCTCTCCAAAGCACCTAGAGAAAGAGCATGCCCACATCCTTTGCCCTAGGGCATAAACATTGGGGGTATAGAGAATTTGTGGTGTGGGTGAGACATCTGGCACATGTTTTAGGTGCCAGGAAGTTCTGGTAGGTATGGGTGGTTACGTAAGAGGAAAGCTTCTGTTGATGTGTCAATGACAATGTTTTTGAAGATCTAGTATCAGTCAGGACTCTTGGTCACAACCCAACTCAAACTTGCGTAAGCAAAAAAAAAAAAGGTCCATGTAATAGAAGTCCCAGGATCCATTGGGCTTCAGGCCTGGCTACATCTAGGTGCTAAAACATCTCTCTACCTCTTGGCTTTGTTTTCTTGTTTGGCTTCATTCTTAGACAGGATCATCCTGCATAATAATGATGGTACTGGTCATGAACTCTGGAATTATAATAGTTTGACAACAGGCTAAGTAGAGAGGCCCTTCTCCCAATAATTCCAGCAAAAGTTCCAGAGTTAACTGTAATGGGACTCAGCTTGGGTGACAGGCCCCTTCCTGAACTAATCACGATGGCAGCAGATTGGAATGTGTGAAGTGGCTAAAGAATCTGGGTTTGGTATGAACCCCACCTGAATGACCTCAACTGTGGTTTCTGGTGAAAATCGTTTTACCTTCTAAGTGGAGTGAGGGGTGTGGTGAAGGGGGGGGCTACAGCAAAGCTCTAGAGGAAAAGCGGGCAAGTGCAGTCAGGGAACGGTAGCAGACCAGCAAGGGCTAGGCATGAGGAGAGTCGCCGTCATGCCTTCAGCACCTACCCTGGTTCTAGACACAGGCCTGACTGTCTCCGGGGTCTGTCTCAAGGGAGCAGAAGAACTGGAGTGAGGGGGCCATGCCTTGGTACATAGCCCACGTGTCAGAGTCCTGTTTGCCCCCCGCCCCCACCTCCTAAGTAGCCGGATAGTGAGACATTTGCAAAGATGTTAACCCCACATAAAAAGCATGCCGTTCAATAATTATGTAAATTAGCTGGCAATTAGATAATGTCACTCACTTTTCCTCTCCTGCTAGATTTCCACACAACAGATAACTGTTTTTGAGCTTCTGCCCCAGCTTGCACACTCTGTGCAGGCTCTGGGGCAAACACCTATACCCGCAGCTGCCTGGGCCCTTCTGTGGCTCAAGAGAGGGTGGCAGTTGGCTGACTGGGTGGGGAAGGTCCCCTGGTTCCCATTTTTCCATGTCTTGAGCCTTAGTGTGCCTGTTAGTGGACCAAAGAAGTCTAAAGGATAAATGCCTGGGGCTGTTGGCTTGAGCCTGTGATATTTAATGTAAGGTGAGCTTCAGCTTTTGGCCACTTTGGCAATTTCCCAGAGGCCACTGGAATGTCCAAAAACCAAGAAATAAATGGAAGGGCTTTAGGAGATAATGTGGGTAGACCCTAGACTATCAAGTCCAGATAAACTCAATTCTGATGTCACTAGTTTTAAAATCAGATTCTACCTGGCCCACAATGCAGACAGGGGAACATTGGTACCTCCAATGCTGGGCTGGGCTAAAGGGAAGGGCTGTGAATCTGACAAAGAGAACCTCAGCAGGCAGCATAGCGTGGTTGCCGCAGAGCAGGCTGGTTAAATTCCCATGATTTTCCACACAGGGCAGTGGTCCTGGGCAGCTTAATTCTTAACAGATTGCTAGGCTTGTGCTACTTTGCCCTTTGGGGTCATCTAAGGTTGGCATCTGGAGAAGCCTGGGGGCTCAGGATTGCTGCCACTGTGTAAAGCAGGGTGAGGCCACTGCATGGAACAGAACTCAAATAATGCACAGGGATGCACTTCAGCTTCTGCTTTTACACTTCACTCTTTGTCCACATGTTTCCTGAGCTTCCACTCCCTGCCAGGGTCCTGTGGCAAGCACCATGGTGAAGCAGACCCTGCCCAGGATCTACCCATCGAGCTTCCCAAGCTGGGGCTCTTCATTGCTGTGCTTTGTGTCTCTAAAGTACACTTGCCCCCACTCCTTTTTGATGCCCTCAAGGGTGAGAATGGTTTCTTATTCTGCTTTGATACAGCAGTGGCTGCAAGGAATCAGAGCTCAATAGATCGAATTGAACATGCCATTTAATTTACGCAGATAAATAAATGACTTTCAGAGGCCCAGAGATGAGCTGATAGTATACAGCAGTCTCAGAAAGTTTCTGGGGCTGTTCATTTAGAGTGTCTCCCATGTCCCTGCTCATCCATAATACTGGGCTCTCTGTCTGAATGTCCTTGCTTCCCCGTGAGGGTTCCACTGGCTTTAGCCATCTGAGCCTGGGCTTTGCCTGTCAGCCAGGGGACGCTGGTCTAAATGGGCAGGATGGGGAGTGGAGAGGGAAGTGAAGCAGCCAGGACAGTGTCACTGTGAAGACCCTTTCCCAGAAAGTGAAAACTCTTTCTCACGCACCCTGGGCTCTATTACATACCACATGATTTTTACATTCCTGGCTTATCACTAATTCCAGGCTCAGGTACTCCTTGCAAGAGGCATGTTCTTTCTACTCACACCTGTCTTGCTTCCCCCTGGTCTAAATCAAATGCAAGACTTGGAAGAGGGGAAAGGGGAGGAGCTGTCCTCTGAACACATTTTCCAAAAGTGGACCCTTTTCAATAATTTATTTAAGGAAAATTTTATTTATACATAGATGTAGCAGTTATTGAGACCAGAAGGAGCCCTCTTTTCAGGACAAGGATTTCTCTCCCCCGGGATGTTGCCTTTTGCCTTGGTTGCATACCTCCCACTGCACAACGAGCACATTCTTGGAGACTGGGTCCTGTGTCATCATCTGGCCTCCTGACATTCACCTCTGGTCTTTCACTCACTCCATTCCAACAGCACCGGTCTTCAACGTACCAGCCCGCTCTGGTCTTAAGACCTTTGCCTGGAGTATTACTTCTGGAACATTCTTCTCTGATATTTACATGGCCAATTCCCTCACCCTCTTTCAAGGCTTTCTTTAAATCAAGTCTCCCCAAAGACTCTGATTTACGGTGTTTGCCTATTTCCATGGTGTGAATACTCCTAGCGTCGTTAGTTTCATGCTACCAAAGTGACATCAACCAGCTCAAACATTTCTGAAATTTTAACAGTTGGTTCTCACCAGCCCACATGAGTGGCACTTCCGTATCACTGCATCTATGTTCCAGTGAAGCATCTGTTGCACCACTGGTGGTGCCCACACCACATTTTGGGGCACAATGTGTGGACAAGACCTTTTACAGAACCTATTTCCTTATGATGGGTTCAATCAGTCTGTTGTTGATTGTTTTTTTTTTTTTAATTCAGTGGAAATAGGTGTTTGTTCCTTCTTAAGGAACAGCATTTTCCTCTTCAAAGCAGAGGTAATGACTAGCTTTGCTAATGTGGTCATCATAAAAATAGTGAACAGTAATGGTCTGACAGAGACCAGGATGAATTATCAAATATGCCAATTAACAAGCAGCAACTTGCTCAGCTCTTGGCAATTACACTCATTGCTCTCATGTGAACAGAAGAGTCTCCACATAGCTAGGGGGGCTGGGGTGTGCCTTCAGGAACCGATCACACATGGACTGGATGCTGGTGCCTTTCCATCCAGTATAGAATGCATGTAATATGCCCTGCACCTGTACCATTCCTTAACTATTCATTCGTTGTCCATTCTGCAGTTTCCATGAATTTTTGAAAAGTATTTGTGTTGTAATGTGCTGTCCCCCCCCTCCACAGACATACACACACTCACACATACATCATATATCAATAACTGTTCTTCTCATCCCTTCCTCTCTGGAAATAAGAAAGGTCCCTTCCTACTTCAGTGAACAGAAGACCTACGGTTCACTGGGCACCTACTATGTACACAGGCTCATGCTAGGATCTTCCTTGGAAAGAGGCTATTATTTTCTCTACTTTATGCAGGAGGAAATAGAAGCTTAAATAATTTTTTAAAATGTGCTTAAATTTCCATGTACAAGAACAAGTATTCAAACTCAGCCCTAAAGCACATATTTCAACCTTTCCCCTAACATTTAGTAAGAGATGAGGATTCTGTGCTCATTATTCACCTCCTAATTTATTTTCACTGATTTTTACAAATATTTCTTTCAAAAATTAAAGGTGGGAATCTGTCTTAGGCCACCTACATGCAAGCATAATCAAAGTTTAAAAAATCTAAAAATATCTTAGTCATTTTCATGTTTCTTAATAGGTAAATAAGTTAAAATTACGTGTATTTGAATGTATAAAATGTTAGCGCTTATCTTAAAAATAACTTTGGCTATGTGATCCTGTGATATGAATATGGTAAAAATATGCTGATAAGACTTTGTGGGGGGTGGGTTCTGCCACTTTTGCATATGTGAAGACTGAGTACATTATCAGGAGCTGAGCTCTGGGTCCTGCAGTGGCTCTGGAAGAACCCTGGGCCTCCATCCTGTTGGAAGCACCAAGTGCTGTAGGAATCACTAGAATAGCCTGGCTCACAGTCCGCACTCCATCAATATTTGTGAAATAGGATGCAGTGTTTTTCTGACACATGCCTTAATCTTCTTCTCTTCTCTCCTTCCTCCCCATCCCCAGTCCTCCCGCAGGTCTTTTTCTGGAATCCTGGGAAGCAGGTTATGGGCAGGACTGCCTCTGGCCCACACCATGAAGCCTGAGTCTGCTTCCGCTCTGCCCCGGGCCCTGCTCTGCGTGAGCACTCTGCTTCCAGCCGCCCTTCTCCCTGCAGCGCCCTGCTGCTAGGGGGTAAAACTTCAGGACTGGTCCTTGGCCCATTTCTACCTTTCACCTGGCTCACCTCGCTGCTCGCTCCTCCTCCATCACGGCACCCTGGACCCTAGCCCTGTCCCTGGCCTCCCTGGCTGGGGTGTTTCGGGGGCCAACGGGAGGAGTGCATTGCTGAAGGCTTTCATCCACCGGGCACCTTCTCCTCCTTGAATCAAGGCCTCCGGATCCACATGGATAGCTGAGATCTTTTCTTGGAGAAAGTCGCTTGGCTCCTCACGCCAGACCCTCGCCGACCCACCTGATTTTCCTCCTCTTCTGCTGCCCTGTCTTTTTCCTCTGCCTCTTTTGTGAATTTTTTGCTTGAGTGCCCACTTGGGGCTGTCCTCTTCACTTTCCTCCTTCTTCACCCTCTCGATAGTTGTGCTTGCAACTTCTTCCTCTGTGTGCTCTCTGTCCCCCCACCCATCTCCTCTGCCCCTCTCCCTTCTCTGCAAAGAGGGGTCATTCCCCGAGGGCTGTCCCCAGCTGTCTGATCCCTGGGGCTCGGTCCTGGCAGCCACGATGAGTTTCACCGTGCACTCAGTGTTCTTCACCCTGAAGGTTAGCGTGCTGCTGGGGTCCCTGCTGGGGCTCTGCCTGGGTCTCGAATTCATGGGCCTCCCCAACCAGTGGGCCCGCTACCTCCGCTGGGATGCCAGCACGCGCAGTGACCTGAGCTTCCAGTTCAAGACCAACGTCTCCACAGGGCTGCTCCTCTACCTGGACGATGGTGGCGTCTGCGACTTCCTCTGCCTCTCCCTGGTGGATGGCCGCGTGCAGCTCCGCCTCAGCATGGACTGTGCTGAGACTGCAGTGCTGTCCAACAAACAGGTGAATGACAGCAGCTGGCACTTCCTCATGGTGAGCCGTGACCACCTGCGTACGCTGCTGGTGCTGGATGGTGAGGGCCAGTCTGGGGAGCTACAGCCCCAGCGGCCCTACATGGATGTGGTCAGTGACTTGTTCCTGGGTGGAGTCCCCGCAGACATACGACCTTCTGCCCTGACCCTAGAGGGAGTACAGGCCATGCCTGGATTCAAGGGATTCATCCTGGATCTCAAGTACGGCAACTCAGAGCCTCGGCTTCTGGGGAGCCAGGGTGTCCAGTTGGATGCTGAGGGACCCTGCGGTGACCGTCCCTGTGAAAATGGTGGGATCTGCTTTCTCCTGGATGGCCATCCCACCTGTGACTGCTCTACCACCGGCTATGGTGGCAAGCTCTGCTCAGAAGGTAAGACCCTCTTCCCTATTCCTCTGTTCTTAGAACCCACCTAGGGGGTTGGGTGAAGACCAAGAGCTCTGATAGAAATCAGCTGTATCTTTAATGTGCACCTTTAGCTACATGGTAGATAATGGAGTCCTTTTCTGAAGGAGCTAGTAAAAATCCCTTGCTTGCTCTCAATGGAAAATCCATCAGCTCTCAGCAGAAAGAGAATCTTGGCTGCTCAATCATGGGCTTCTTACTCAAAGGGCTGGGTGGAATGACTGCAGTATTTGTGCCTGGCCCAGCTTACTCCCTCCATCACAGCACAGCTTAGCAGGATCAACACAGGGCAAGAAACCAGATAGAAATGGGCAAAGTGGTTATTTCTGTCCCTCCAGACCCCTTGAGAATTGGACCCTTGGGGAGGGAAGGGAAACTCCCTGTTACTTCCTCCTTATAATCCCCAGCAGAAGGAATGCCTATGCAAAGAACTAGGATGAATGGAGTGCAGGTCCATGCTTGACCCCACTGTAAACCCAGCCCTTCAGTTGTTCCCACATCTGCTGGGAGGCCTATAGAGGGTGGAGGAGGCATCTGGGGATGGACCGTCTGTCTTCCTCATTCTGGCACTAGGATTTTTCATATGGGGTTCTTCTTTCATGTCCTCTCCTCTCCATGTATGAGAATGGTACAGGAAAGCGCAGAAGATGACAGAACCCTTGTCCAGCCAAGCCACTGAAGGAGCCAGCAATACTCAGCATAGCTTTGGAGGAAGTCCCAAGTTCAACAACAACTTCCCAGGTAGAGGGAGGAAGGGGTTTGTGCCCAAGGGCATAGGCTGCCCTCACCTTATTCACCAAATTCTGACTGTTTGGGATTAGATCTGAGAAGTGGCCCAGACTTTACCTAAAATCCAGATTCCTGGACTGCTGGACTCACTCAATGCCTAGATTTCAGTAGGAAAGACCATTGAAGCGACCAGGTATGTGAGAACTGGTCACGTGGGTATGTGTGGGGAGGTGGGATGAGGAAGAAGCAAAAAAGGTACATTTTCTCTTATCCTTTTTGAGTGAAGCCCTGGATTCTTCTAGACACATCTGTGTTACCATCTCATGCTGGTGCTTTCATGGTGACGGTGGGATGGTATAGAGCAGAAAAGTGATTCTCAGCCTTGGCTGCACATTAGGATCACCTGGACGACTTTAAAGACTCTCAGGCCATAGCACGGGCCAATTTATTCAGAAGCTGGGGGAGGCAGGATCCAAGCCTCTGTGTATGATTGAGGCTCCCCAGGTGATCCTATTGTGCACCGAGATTGAGAGCCAACAGGAGGTCACGTAGGCAGGGCCAAGTAAATGTCTTAGCCCTTACTCCCAGGATCTCCTCATTGAGGTGAGGCCCCACGGCCTGGAAATTTGTAGTGAGAAATAATGTCTGCAGGTGTTCCTCAAACTTTCCTAGGACAGCTGAACCCCTCAAGCTGGTTGTAGTTGGTAAGAACCTTAGTTACTAGTAGCCATTTAAAATTTTTTTTAATCAAAAATAAGTTCATTTCACAGGTGAAACGTGCTGGAGACAAGGACACCTTCCAGGTCTTGTTGGAGGCCTCGTGTAGGGCATGTGTGGGTGACCACAGGAGTGTCCCTGGGTCTCTGCTGCTTCTTTCCTCTACTGGGTTGGGTGTCGCACCTTCCTTCCTTTGGATGGGCTACAGGACAGGCAGATATGAGACCTGCCTGCCATCTTTTTTTGGCTTCTGTTTTTTTCTGCCTTTGAACCCATTGGAAAAAGGGATGCGGAGGTGGGGCCAAACCAACCCCAACCCACAAAGCCACTTCAGGAAAGTTGTTATCGAAGCGCTTCTCACAAGCAGGTGCCTTCTGGAGCTGACTGCTGTTCCAAAGCTTCTTGGCTTTGGAGAAAGTTCTGCCTGAAGACGCTGACACGATCACTTGTTTTTCATTCGCCCAAAGGATCTGTTCAGTTCTCAGAACGTGTATGGAAAGCTGGCATTCTTCCTTTCTAGGGACCAGGGTGTCTGCAAGTGTGTTGTTAACTTGCTGATTATCTCTGATTGCATTTTTTGTGTTTAAAAAGAACTCATTTCCTCTGGGCAGGTCTAGATCAGCACTTTTCTGCAGGAAGACTCTCTATACTGTATGTGTACACAATTTGTCTTCTCTTTCTCTCCCTCCCTCTCTCTCTTTTTGTATGTGTGTGGTCTGCAGCAGAATTTCTCTGAAGCAGATTTAAGATACATTTTTAATAGCTAAATGCAATGTGTGTGTTTTAATAATACTTCTTTTTACAGGGTTCAGATCTTCTCGTGGCTATCGATTGATACTTCTATCTGTAGAAGGCAAACACACAGCTTAGCTCATTGATTCTCCTCTATGTAAATAGAAAAAAATAAATGGTGTAGTAAGAGGAACACCATTTGGCTTGGAACAGAGCAGTACAAAGGCTGAGGCGAGGGCAGCTATTGGGGAAATACCAGAATTTACTGTTGATAACTTGGAGCCTATTGATCCTGGTAATTGTCATCATGTCTAATCAATCACAAAAATGCATCACAGGCTTTTAGAGAATACCTGTTCTCCCCACACATGTTAATTTTAAGAGTAAACAGGAAAAACTCACCTGTAACATATTAAGGAGGGGAAAATCACAGCAGCTGCTAAGTGTCAAGTAGATCTGCACAAAACAAGATAATAGACAAACAAATGCCTGTCCATTTTCCTGAAGATAGCAGGTAGTGAGGAGACATCCATTCCCTCCCCTACCCCTATCCTCCTTTAAACTGCACAGGTCACAAACTGAAACCAGGGGACTTATTCCCAGCAGTCGGTCCCATGTACCAGACATCTGATTGTCCCAATTTGCAGGATGGGCCCTACCATTTGATTGCACGAGGGCTGGCATTTGGTGTGGAAGATTCGTTTTGTACTTCACGCTTCAGCAGTTCAAGAGCAGCAAGAGCTGAGTGGGCTCCTGCAGCTTCAGATGGATGTGGCCAGGGCCTGTTGGAGGTGCTCTCTGTGGTCCATTAGTTGCTAGCATGCTGGCAGTGTTGATGTTTGCTTGGACTGCCTGGCTTTCTACGCCTCGATGGCTCCCAAATGTCTCCATACTGCACCTCAGGAAGAATGCACAAAGGGGCCCATCTCTCCAATGGGCTTTGGGCTATTTTCATCCCCTGTTGGGTGTCTTCTCTGGGTAAGACCCAGAGGACACCAGAGGTAGTTGCTGTGGGAGAGCTGGGCCTAGAGGTAAGAGGTCCTGGACACAATGTCTTCTCTTTTGTGTGGTGAAGGCTCTTAGCTCTGACTGCAGACTCAGCTCCACACAGCTTGCACGGGAAGACTTCATTCTTCATTTCAAGACTGCTAGTGCAATTAATGGTCACATTGAACATTTTGGCAGCATGGAGGGAGAAGCCGCCCATGTTTTTACTTCTAGGTGTTATGTTTATGAATAAAATGTTTTGGTGCTTAACTTCAGATTTGTTCATGTTGCCATGTAGTCTTGCCTTTTCAGTCATGTTTTTGGAGGACAGAAGTCCAGGCGATTCAAAATGATTCTGAAATTATATCTACATCTATCTATATCTATACCATCTATCTCTATATCTACATCTATCATCTATATCTATCTATACATATCTGCTTTGGAATTTCATTCAGCTATGGCACAGCAAATTCACCTGGTGTTTGCTCAGCACATTCTTGTTACGGGCAGCCTTGAAGCTCACTGGGCAACAAGGAGGTATCCTGAGCTCCCTTCACAGAGCAGGTCCCTCATGCATCATTGAGAGTTTGTCATTGCCTTGAAATGAGTTTAAACCGGATTGCTTATTTTTAATCCATTCCTAGTTATAAATGTGCATGCATTGAATTTCTCAACAATCTTATGGTCATGAAGAATTGATTCGTATCCAAGGTGTATACATTGCAGTGCTAGTCTCCCTGAAGAGTCATTTAGCATGGTGTCAGCCTGTTGCAGGTAGGGTGGGGCCAGGGAAAGATGGAGAAGACCTCGCTGCCTGATCTCTAGTTCCAAATCCCATTATATGGGCCAGCCATCTATTCCTGCTGAAGTGGGCAGGTGCACAAACCACAGGCTGCTTGTCTTGAGTCTCGACTGTAGAGTTGTCAGGTGTTGAGATCCTGCAGTGGAGTATAGTGGTAGGCATTGGTGACAAGGGCCAGGCCCTTATTACAATACAAACACACTGTTGTGTGGTGTCTGCCAGTCTCCCACCCCCCATCTCTCCTAGTGTCTGAAGCTGGCATGATACTCCGCTTGATTGATACTCAGCACCACTGTGTAGCCTTGGTATACCTTCCTGAAAGTTAATTTTAATCACTTTTCTTTTTATTGAGAATTTTGTGATTCTTCTCCCATTTCTCAAAGCCAGAACGAAGATGGAATGGTTTTCCAAGAGGAGGTGCTTACCTGAGCATTTACCAAGGGCAAAAGACATCAGATGCTGGAGTTGGGCACCAGTGATTGCCACAGCTGGATCCTCCTGTTCTGGGCACTTGTGTAGAAACACAATCATTTTCCCTCCCCCTTCCAAGTGTACAACCTGCCAGAATTGTAATGAGCTTTGTTCCTAATCTGTGTCAGCCCTAAAAGGTCTGGGGGGTGGGGGCTGGAGGGAGTTGTGAGTAGTCAGAGGGTAGAGGCTAACTCCTTTCAGCATCCTTCTCCCCAGGATGGAGCCCCTAGCACAGAAGCAAAGCCGTGAAACACACACAAAGGAGGACTGCTGCTTCTGAGACACAGTGCCCCACCCGCATTCAGGCTAGGTGGGACCAGCCCAGCCAGCAGGGGCTGTCGCTAAACGGAGCCTGAATAGGGGTCTGATTGCTCTTTTTCCCTCCTCTCCTCCTGATTACCGAATGAAATTGCCTGGGTGTGCTGTATGCTAAATGGCAGAGCAGCCGCCTGCCACTCGCTCCAATAATCCCTCTTTTAACTGTTGGGGGAAGAGCGTTTTTTTTTTTAACCATCCCCCCACCCCA